TATTACAGTTCAAGGAGGACACTGGAGACAGACTGTCCTTCTGGGTAAGAGACTTATTAGGAGAAATAGTAACGCCACGGAAAATGGCATGTGAGGGGTTCTGAGAAGAGCGCAGACCCCAATACTGTAGACAGACAGCATGGAAGGGGCCAAGTGAGGGGTCCCTTCTTATAGGTTCCAGAGGAAGAGGTAAATTCCATACACCGTTCATTGACGAGTATCCACTGCACAGGCCTGCCTCTGATTCCCAGGGATTCTGGGTAGGAGGTCTTGCATAAAGCAAGAAAGGAATTTTGTTAGTGTGTGATTTGGAGGATGTGGGGTAACTGGAGAGGAGGGGCACATTTACATGCAGTGTACCCATTACCTGGGTGAGTGTGGGGTGACACTGGTACCCGCTGATATCTTGGGAGTCTAGTAGCCTGGTTCTGTCCTTGAGGAAGTAAGGGTGCCAGTGAGATGGTTCAGTGGGTGGATGCTTGCCACCGAGCCTGCATTCAATCCCTGGAATCCACACGGCAGCAGGTGAAAACTGATGCAAGTTTCCCCTGACCTCTGACATATGTACACATATGTACCCACTAAATATTTTTTTTTTTTAATTAGAGCACCTCTGGCCCTGGCCCTCACTGGCTGGTGGAGAGCTGCCCTCCCCCTACTGGAGAGCTGACCCCACCCCGCAGGCACAGGAGAGCCAGCTTCATCCCTCACCTGAGGAGGGTAGTCCCAATGGCCAGGTCAGACCAGCTCAGCTACCACCCAGGCACACATTCAGGGCTTTGAGTTGGCACTCCCCAACATCTACCCCATCTGACCTGCTGGAGAGTGAAGGGACTGGTCCTGCAGAACCATGGCGGCAGGATCTCCATGACTCCAGGCAACAGCAGGATATCTGAGAGGAGTTTCGGTGAGGGTCCAGCATTGATGGTGTACCAGAAACCAGAGGCCTTGAACCTGACCAACAAGTCATTACACAATGAACATTTGCAAGAAAAGCTGTTTGGACAAAAGAGTAGATTGCATGATACACCACACTGCAGCTCCCAGTGCCACTGAGATCAATGAAGAGGCGATGGAGAGGCAGGAAAGATGGAGGACTGAAGTGGGGTTTTTTGTTTGGTTTTGGTTTTTGTTTGTTTTAATTTTCTTATTTGTATTTTTTATTTTTATTATTTCTCTTTAAGTTTTACTTGGGGAGTGGACGATACAAGGGTGAAGGGTAGATATGGAAGGATTATGAAATGAGTGGGACTGGGGTGTATGAAGTGAAACTCCCAAAGAGTCAATAAAAAATTGTGTTTAAAATAAATAAATGAGGGCACCTGCTATTCATCTGGAATCCAGGCTCCTGGGGAATCTGCTAGAGGGTAAGAGATAGGCTCTGGGTAGGGGGCTTGCCAGTTCCTTTACAGCAGCTGTGAGACAGAAGCTGCTATACATGAGTGTGGCTTGCTCGGCTCCTAGTCCAAACCGAACGACCCTCACAACTATAAACCACCTGGTTTGGGTATTTGTCCCACCAACTAGATCTTTTAGAACCTCATTCCACTGCGTCCTGTCACGTCAGACAACACTCATTACAAACTGCTCTCAGCTTAGCACACACGAGCTCCTGCACATTGAGAAAACAGATCTTAGCTTTTGTCAGATTTTTAAAGGGGTCTGAGACCTGAAAGAGTCTAAGCCTTTCGTTAGACTCTGAAAGGTCTGTCTGCTCTTTGGAACAGCATCCTCCACTACAATGTAAACTCTAAGAGGGCAAGTGTCTTATTCTGTTTTGCTCTGATGTATCCCCAGGGCCTAGAATGGTACCCAACACATTCTTGCATAGGTGTAAAGAAATGACCAGGAGTCTCAGACAAGAAGAGTACGATCATGTCTGTGGCTGAGTTACCCCAAAATATAAGGCTTTTAGCAAACATTTATTATCCAAGCTTCTCCAGGTTAGTAGGAGGTAAGTTGTGACTTGACTGGGTCTTGACCTTCAATGTCTCTCTCCCAGACTGCAAAGTGTGAATCAGGGATGCTATCTGCAAGCTGAGCAGGGGCAGGCGCACTCACACAATGGGGCATTCACCATGTAAGGGTTGCTTACCACAGGGGCCTCTTCACAGGTCCTCACAACATGGGAGCTGGCTTCATCGGAGTTAGCAAGGAAGGGAAGAAGTGCACGCAGCCCCTCGTAACTATATCTAATCACCTTAGCTATGATCTTTTTATAAGAAGTAAGTCTCGTGATCCCGTGCACATTGCACACAGGGAGAGGATCCATCTAAGAGCAAAATACATGGCGGTATTACCTGAGGCCCCAGGAACCTTAGAAGTTGCCTACCACAATATACTAACCAAAGAAGGCTTAGACCAGAGCCTACTGGGTCAGGCCGGGGAGGGGGAGGCAAAAACTAGCGGTGAGAGATTTGATGGACAGCTGAGGCTTTGCCCACCTTCCAACAGGCTGCTATCAACCTGTAATGCAGATCTACAGATCTTCTGACTTTTTAAAAGTAGCCAAAGCCCAGTGGTTTTGCATGCCTTTAATCCCAGCATTCGGGAGGCAGAGGCAGGCAAATCTCTGTGTTTGAGGCCAGCCTGGTCTACAAAGTGAGTTCCGGAACAGCCAGGACTGTTACATAGAGAAACCCTGTTTAGAGAAAACTGAAAAAAAAAAAAAAAAATTGCCAAAGCCTAGATTTTTGTGAGATATTTCCTGATTTTTAAATCTGGGAAAATCAAGCAAAACCACATTTGGGTTTATACGTACTCCCAATGGCAGGAAGGACCTAATTCAGTCTTATTTCTCCCACCCTTTGAATATGTCTACTATCTCTCCCGTCCTTTACTCCACCCAACTTGTTCATTGGCCGCAAAAACCTAACCAACTCATTCTGTGCATGTTCACAGAAAATGGTCTAAAAATGCAAAAATGCTACAATATTGTCTCCCTAGGGAACTGCCCTTAAGTCAAGAACAACGGCTTAAGTAGCCTCGGGTCTGTGACTTGGGATCTCAGCTCTGCCTTGGACAAGTGATTAACTCTTGAGAGCCGCAGCCTCTTCATCCATAAAACGCAACCGTTGTACCTGCCTCAGAGTTGTCCTAACATTAAGCAAAATGACGCATGTGAGGCCCTCGCAGAGCCTAGCCACGGCAACTCAAAAAACGTGAGCTGGTCTTCTGCCATCACCCCTCTCTCCTGTCTGCACCACGTCCCTCCTTGATCCATTATTTTCCGTCACCTAACACTATCTGGCTGGGAGAGGAAGCCTTTGGAAAGCAGAGCTGTCACTGAAAGGTTTAAATCCTCTAACAGGCTGCTGATGCCTTCAGCAAGCGAAAATCCAAATAGTTTAACACAGCCCACTCCCTAGGCTGTTCTGGAGCTGAGCCTGCCCAGGCTTCTGGGCGCATGGCTCAGCTCTTGTCTTCACACTTGGTGTTGCAGCCACTCTGGAGCTGTTCCACAGCACTCCACACTTCCCTGCCATGGCGAAGCCGTTCTATTCAGGAGCTCTTCCCGAGCTGGAACGTCTTCTCCCTCTGTCCACCGGGCCTTGTTTGTTCCAGCTGTGCACTGTCAAGAAAATACTCATTATGTCCCTTTTTAAACCTGAAGGCAGATACGGTATGTCCTTTCCTCACAGTAACTCCTCTCTCTTCCCAGCATTGTGCGCGGCTGGCAGAGCACAAGAAAACGCAGTAACTTTATGGCGCTGGCCCCAACAGCTCAGACCTGAGGGCAGACAGCGCCACCTGCTGGCCTGCGTTTGTATTTCAGCATTTAGAAAGCCTTTATATAGTGTCTTCCCAGCCTAATAAAACAACGGTTTTGAATTTTTACAGAAGTCCATCTAGAGTAGTGGTTCTCGATCTTCCTAATGCTATGACCCCTTGATACAGTTTCGTATGTTGTGGTGACCCCCAACCATAAAATTATTTCGTTGCTACTTCATAACTGTAATTTTGATATTGTTATGAATTGTAATATAAATATCTGGTATGAGGATATTTAATATGTGACTAAGAGGTTACATATTAAGACCCACGAGTTGAGGATCGCTTGCAGTGTCTCCACTAACCATCAAATTTAGCAAATTATTGAGTATTTGATGTACTTCAGATACTTTTCTAAGTGTTTGAGTTACTAGTTTTCACCCTCACCCAAGGAGGCAGGTAGGCCCACACTGCAGTTTTACAGGTAGGGTAACTGAAGCAGTTATGACTCTCAAGTCATGCATCTAGAAGACCTCAGCCAAGACCCAAACCCTGTTTGAACCTGCACTGGGAAGCTGAACAAAGTCTCTGCCTCTATGCCCTTCACTGCATCCCAGACACCTCTATCAGGAACGCCTACTTTCAGTCAACAAGTGTCTTCTAGAATGATCCGCACATTCTGAAAGCCTCACTCCTCCAAGGGCCCTCCTCAGACGGAAGTGGGACTTAGCCTCTTCTCGGTCAGTCCTGGCTTCCCACTGCTCTCCTGTGCCACCTGCAGCAAGCAGCGGCCTCCTGAACCTGCTTCCTTACTAGACCTTCAGTCTGGACGCGTGGACTCTGTTAGATACTGAGAAGCGACCAAGGAGCAGTCTGATCAGATGAACACAGATGGCGGGAGCCATCTAGATCACCTTCCATGATGCTCGGCCAGCCTCGCGCCTTGACAATGCCATCTAGCGCAGTTTGGCTACTTGCTTCCTAAATCCCATCCATTGTCACTTCCTCTAGATCATTTCATTTTAGTATGTGCTATGGGTAGAAATGACTGCTCGCCTCCACTTAATATCTAATTAAAAATTTTTAGTGCTTCCCACCCGAGTCACTCTACCAAAGTACAGAGGTAGGTCACAGCAAGCAGCACACCCTGAACAAAAACCTACTGATCTCACTAGTCTACAGTCCTGAAACAAAACCCAACCCCCAAACAAAGAGAAAGCCCATCGCATCCAATTCCATCTACTGTCAGGTGCTCTAGCTGAGTCATTACTCTCAAATACTAAAGACACTGCTTTTCACAAATCTGTTTTAATACAGATATATACATATACACACATACACAGTCACAAACCAGCGTGACAAATTCCCCTTCTTTAGTCAGGAGAGCTCTACCACACCCAGGGGTCCTGGAGACGCTCCAGTGAGCCTAAGCATGACAGTTTTCACATACGACACCCATTAGGGAACACTTAAATCGGGTAAGTGGCAAGGTGCACCCCAGGTGTACACTGCCTGGGGCCTCATGCGGGTCCAGAGCTCTGCTGTACCCTCTTCATCAGCTCTTCATCCTGCATAGACAGCTCTGTCAACTTTTTGCCCATCCTCTCATGGATGTCCAAGTACTTGGATACACATCGGTCCAGGCACACAGACTCCCCTTTGGACAGCTCTGCTTCCTTGTAGTGGGGAGGCACACATTTCCGGTGGCAGGCACTGGTCATTCTGGGATTAGAGAGGGACAAGGTTGTATCAGTAACTTCCTGTGGCAACCCAGAACCCTTCAACAACTTCAACCCTCCAGTACTGATTTTTGCCTCACCCTCTCCCCCAAGAAACTAGTGGAAATTCTGTTTTCACTTCAAACGCCTTGGAAGGTTCTTCAGACTAAGAACCTTGTTTGAGACATGTATAAGACTAGTTAAAGAGGAAGGACTTGCTGGATACTGGCTGTGTACCAGGCATCATGCTAAATGCTAACACAGACTCTGTTACGTAACCCTCACAGTAGCTCAGTGGGGTTAACACAATTAAATCCCCAATTGTACAGACAAGGAAATTAAGACAGAGCAGCTCAGTAATTTGCTAAGGATCATACAAAGCCAAATAGTCTGACCTCATAGTCTGCATTTTAAAAACCATTCCAGCCGAGTGGTGGTGGTGCACGCCATCAATTTCAGCACTTAGGAGGCAGAAGCATGCAGATCTCTAAGTTTGAGGTCAGCCAGGTCTACAGAGCCAGTTCCAGGACAGCCAAGGCTGTTATACAGAGAAACCCTGTCTTGAAAAATCAATAATAATAATAATAATAATAATAATAATGAAAATAAAATTCTAATTTGTGGCCTCCAAGATAAATCAACCAATGAGAAGAGCTTCTGCTGACTAAAACCCCCAAGTGTCTCACTGTTTCCTGAATGATATGCTTGATGCTAAAGGCTTTCAAGTTCAATACTGGTAATGTCATCATGAAGTAATGTTTATTATGTCAGTTTTATTGATGATATAATCAATTAGGAGACAACTTGTCCAAAGATATTCAGTGGGTGACTGGTGCACCAGGATTTGTTTCCAAATTGGCCAAACAGCTCTAAGCAACAGTTGTGAAGCCAGCCTGAAGTATTGGTTCTGACATTGCTACTGACCAGCTAGGGACTAGCTATGAGATTATTAAATCCCTCGATGCCTCAATTCCCTATGTTAAAATGGCACTAATAAAATTAACCCACTGATTTTAACTTATTTCTTTCTTTCTTTCTTTCTTTTTTTTTTTTTTTTTTTAAAGACTAGTATCATCTACCCCAGGCTGGCCTCAAACTCACTATGTAGCCAAGGACCGTGAACTATTGACTCTCTGGCCTCCACCTCTGAGTGCTGAAATTACAAGCACCACCTCAGTATCAAACCAAGGGCTTCCTGCATTCTAGACAAGCACCCTACCAAGAAAGTTATATTCCCATCTCCCAGTGAGTTATTTTATTGGGGGACTGGAAAGATGGCTCAGTGGTTAAGAGAACTTACTGCTCTTGCAGAAGACCTGGGTTTGGTTCCCAGAACCCACATGGCAGCTCACAACTGTCTATAACTCCAGTTCCAATGGATCTGATGCCCTCTATGGCCTCTTCAGGCATGTGATGTACATACATATATGCAAGCAAAATATCCATACATATAAAAGAAACACAAATAACAACAAAAAAAACCCTTAAAAATGATAATGCATATAAAATGCTTTGCAAGTACCTAGCACAGAGTTAAAGTTTAAGGAAGGCTGGGTGTGCACACCTTTAATCCCCAGCACTCAAGAGGGAGAGGCTAGTGATCTCTGTGAATTCAAGGCCAGCCTGTATACAGAGCAAGTTCCAGGCTAGCCAGGGTTACATCAGGAGACCTTGTCTCAAAAAAAAAAAAAAAAAAAAAAAAGAAGAAGAAGAGAAGAACAAGAAGAAAAAAGTTTGAATATTAGCTACTAAACGCTATTAACTACTAAATGACTGTTGAGACGGCTCAGGAGGCAAAGGCACTTGCTGCCAAGCCAGAACTTGAGTCCAATCCCTGAGACCCATGGTAGAAGGAAAGATGGACTCCTAGTAAGATGTCCTCGGACCTCCACTAATGTGCTGCTGTGGCATGCATATTGGCACTCATAAACAAACACAAAAAACATAAACAAAAGTAATTAAATGGGCTATTTGTTAAAAAAAAAAAAATGTTAGTGGTAGTTGTTTTTGAAACTCACTAGATCCCGGACTGGAGATTCTCCTTCACGCCCCTTTACGCCCTCTAAATAGCCAAGTCCTTCTAGTGACCTGTATTTACTTTAGCCAAGCACGGTGAGGGTGGGGCAGAGGTTGGGGGGCGGGGTGGGACTTGGCTCCACTACCTCATGGAAAGCATTCGTTACAAGTCCTTCACTCTGTCCTGGTAAGGGTGACTCCCAATTTCCCAAGACAAGGTATCGTGGAGTGGTTCTCATTACCTGTTGTACATGTCCGCCATCATCTCCACCTCCAGCTCCGCAGCCAGCTGCTGGGCTCTAAGCGGATCCATGTCAACCTAGCACCGTGGAGAATAGCCTCCTGGTCTTTAGTCCTAGGAGCAGACATGATCGTCAGCACCGACCCCTCCCGCTTCACCCTATGATCCGGGGGCTGGAGGACTCGAGGAATCACAGCGTTTCAGACCAGCAGGGACCACTGCCCTCAGTAAACGTAATCAGCCCTCTTATCAGAAGTGGGAATGAGGCCCTTCAAGGGGACAGTGCCCAGCTCAAGGTCACTCAGGATGTCACGAGCAAAGGGCCGGAAACTGAGACCTCTCAATCCCTCGAGATCTCTCCTAGCCAGAGGATGGACGGTAGGAACAGAACAATCGAAGCCCTGGGCCTTGCCCGCACGGCCCTGAAATCCGACCCTAACCACAACCGAGGCTCCCGGAGCCGGCCCAGACGCTGCGGTTGTCATGGCGACGGCATCATCAGGGTCCCTCCGGGGGTCAGACACCGTGGGTCACTCACCACGGCCTGGGGCAGGTCACAGATCCCACGACGTCCCCAATTTCGGGTCAATAGTAAAAAGTTGCCGGGCACCCAGCTAGGCGAAATGAAAAGCACGTGGGTCACTTCCGGGAGGGAAGTCCAACCTCTTCTTTGATCCGGAAGGAAACGCCGACCAGGCGGCGCTGGGAAATCGGCTACCATAGAGATGGAGCCACCGGCTGGCTGAATGGAAAACGACTTCAATTTGCTAGAGAGGACTCCAAAGTAGCATAGAGGCTTGAGTGAGGGGCAGAGCGCCAGCAGCCCTGTTAGCGGGCCAGTCCTCGGGTTGTCCGGGAGATGTTTGATTATTTGCAGTCTGGAAGGGGCTTGGCTCCCCGAACCCACTAAGGAGAGCCCACGTCGGGGCGCAGACAGATCTTGTGTGAAGAAGGGAGAATTTTTCCCAAAGGGAGCCTGTCAGTTTTGCATGCTAAAACCACCTGGAGCACGTTTAAAAAAAAAAAAAAACCTCAATGCCCAGACGTTACCTCATACCCGTGAAATCAGAATCGCTGGGAGTAGGACCCAGGCATTAGTAAACAAACGAGCTGTGTGTGCATCATTAACCGGTGGGGTTGCAGAGAGAAGGATGCAAGGTTGCTGCTCTCAGAAAGAAGAAACACGTGCAGAGTTTTTGTTTGTTTTTTTGAGACAGGGTCTCACGGAAACCAGGCTGCTCTCTAATTTGCTATATAGCCCAAGATGATCTACAACTTACGATCCTCCTGCCTCTCTCTTGCGCTAGTGCTAGGGTTCCAGTTGTGCTCCACGATGCCTGATTTAAACTAGGATCACATGCAAGCTATAGGCAAGCGCTCTACCAACTGAGCTGCTTTCCCAGCCCTGGAGCATGTTTTATTGTACTTCTTCATTATACCCACACGCATACGCATGAACAATAAAAATAAATAAATAATAATAGCACTGGTTTCAATCTTTTAAAACACTTTTATTAGGGCAAATTCACAACACACAGAAAACACAGTCTACCGAACATCAACATAGCTATCACCAGGATTTAATGATTCTTAAAGTTTAGCCCCATTTTCTTGATCTCTTATCGTCTTTAACGATGAAGTCTTTTTTTTCCCAAAGTGTTATGCTATGCTACTTTCACATCTTCAGCTAATAGTGATTTCTCTCTCTCTCTCTCTCTCTCTCTCTCTCTCTCTCTCAGTGCTGAAGGCTGAATCCAGGGTCTCATACACTCCAAGCAAGCAAGCATTCCACCACTGAACTACACCTCTCATTTGGTATACTTTTTAAATTTAAATTTATTCATAAGAGCATGTGCCGTGGGCACATGTGGAGGTCAAAGGACAACTTACGGGGCTGATTCTGTCCTTCCACCACGTGGGTCAGAGTCATCAAAGTTGTCAGGCATCCTGGTAAGCACCCTTACCCACTAAGCCATCTCAACAGCCCACTTATTTCTTAATGTAATCTATTGCAGATTTTGGGGGGTTTTGTTTGTTTGTTTGGTTTGGTTTGGTTTTTGGTTTTTGGAGACAGAGTTTCTCTGTGTAGTTTTGGTGCCTGTCCTGGATCTTGCTCTGTATATTAGGCTGGTCTCAAACTCACAGAGATCTACCTGGCTCTGCCTCCTGAGTGCAGGGATTAAAGGCGTGTGCCACTGCTGCCCAGCTTATTGCAGGTTTTAAAAGTCAGTTATCTTTCTATGTTTTTTTTTTTTTTTTTGTGTGTGTGTGTGTGTGTGTGTGTGTGTGTGTGTGTGTGCGCACATTGTGCACGTGGAGGTTGGAGGATAACCTCTGGTTTCCATCCTTAACTTCCACCATTTTTGACACACAGGCTCTTGTGTTTGCTACTGCCTATGCCGGGCTAGTTGGTCTGAGAGTATCCAAGATTCGCCTGTCTCTGCCTCCTATCTCACTGTAGGAGTCCTGGGATTGTGGACCCATCCTATATCTCTGGCGTTACATGAGTCCTGAGGATCTTAACTTGGGATGTTACTATGGCAAAGCAAGCTCTTGACCCACCTGAGCCATCTCACCAGCCCTATTGCAAATATTTTCTCCAACCTCTCAAAAGGGTCTTATTTTTATTGTAATTAGAACATTTAACATAAGATAATTACTTGTACAATATAGTATTGCTATTTATATGCACTGTATTGCACAGATCTCTAGAATTTATTCATCTCTAGAATATACTCATCAATGTGTTACAGTCCTTATAGAAAGGTTCTGTATTTGTCACTCACTCTGGGACAGTACTACTTTCTTGAATTGGGATTCCAGCCCCAAAGAAAGGAATGCAGGATCTCCCCATTGGGACCTGCCACTCATAAGAGACTTGGAGAGCACAAAGATAGATGTCTCCCTGAGCTGTCCTGAGAGGAGCAGAAGGTGAGAGGCTGTCCCAGTAACAGGTAGAAAGCCTCCTTGGCTGTTCCTCATCACTTCTACTTGCCTCTATTGATGACTGTCTGGCCCAGACCACCACAAACTCTTCTGCATCACCAGGTTAGTCTCCTGGCTGCTCTCCCTACTCCTGCCGATACTTCACGTCTGACTGTTCTCAAAACAGCAGCCAGAGTGATGTAAAAAACTAAAATTAGATCATGTCACTCACCCCTAAATACTGCAGTGGTTTCTAATCATAGAGCAAAAGCCAAAGTCTTCTCAATAGCTTGTAAGATCCTGCATGGTGTGGTCCATTACCTGAGAACAGCACCTAGAGGAGGAAGGGCTCACCTCAGCTTTCGGTTCAGGAGATGCACTCCACTGCGGCACGGAAGGCATTGTGGCAGGAATGGGAGGCAGCCAGCCACATCAATGGCCATAGTCAAGACACGCAGAGAGAAGAGTGCTGCTACTCAGGTCACGACGTTATCCTTTTTATTCTGTCTATTTATTAGCTGTCCCCGTCCAAGGGAAGTTGCTACAGGCTTTCTGGGTGGGTCTTCCCCACCTCAGATAACCCAATATAGAATTAGGTTGTGGACACGCCTAGAGGTTTATCTCCTGGGTGGTCCTAGGTCCTATCAAGTAGATAATCAGTATGAGCTAGTACAAATCCCACATGACTTGCCAACCCAGTCTTCTTCCTTTTATCCCCAACTGTTCTCCTGGCCCCATGCTTTGCCCAGCATTACTGATACCCTATGTCTTTACCCAACACATACATCATACCCCCTTCTTCCTAGTTACTCTTCTCTTTGCCAGGGATGCAGGTGCCCATCCCTGTCACAGGCATCAGTCCCAAACTTCTTCGAGGTCTTTATTCCTATATCATTTGCTGTAGCTACAAATATATTCTCCTCCCTATAAAACAAAGTCAAAACAAACACAAAACCCTGTCATTTACCCTGATTCACCTTATTTCATAGAATCTATGGCATCTAATATAGTCCATATTTTACTTGTTAATGTGATTACTATCTCCTCATACTAATATTATTTTCTTTTGTGTTCAAAGCTGTTGTCTCCAGGACTTACTTGGTGTTCACTGACCATTGCATCATCAAAGAATGAAAGGATTATATAAGAGAAGTTATGATGACTGATGCCACGACCTTCTAGTTTCTGCTGTTTTTATTATCTAGTGACAGCAGGACAAGAAATGAGTTAAGGGAAGGAAAAAAATCACGAAGCCAGAGAAATGTGGGAGAACTCATCTGTCTTCAGCAGATAATTTTTGGATGGATGAAGGAGATGTACTAGAGACAGATGTTACACTTATTTGAACATCAGTCCCCAAACCTGGGTTAATAAAATAAGCTCTCTCTCACATCGCAGACACTGACCCCAGCTCCTTTTCTTTTCCCTGCTTTCCTTGATTGATTCCTTAATTCAATATCAATTTATCAAGAACCAGATATGATCTAGGCAAAGCTCTGGGTCTACATCTGTGAGCATGGAAAATAGATTCCCTGTCCTCATAAAGTATAGAGGAGAGAGAGAGAATTTACAATAGATTTTAAAGATCTATTTATTTTCATTTTATGTGTAGGAGTGTTTTGCCTGCATGTATGTAGTGCACTACATGCATGCCTTCTGAGGTCAGACAAGGGCATCAGATCTCCTGGAACTGGAGTTACAGATGGTTGTGAGCCATTATGTGGGTGTTGGGAACTGAACCCGGGTACTCTGTAAGAACAGCAAGTGCTGTGCTCTTAAACACTGAACTATCTCACCAACCCTAAGAATGAAATTTTTGTTGTTTTTCAAGACAGGGTTTCTCTGTGTAGCCTTGGCTGTCCTGGAACTCATTCTGTAGATAAGGCTGGCCTCAAACTCAGAGATGACCTACCCCTGCCTCTGCCTCTTGAGTGTTAGGATTGAAGTGTGCCCACCATGCCTGGCTAAGAATGCTTTTTCTTTTTTTGGTTTTGGTTTTGGTTTGGTTTTTCCAAGACAGACTTTCTCTGTGTAACTCAGGCTGTCCTGGAACTCGCTCCGGCCTCAAACTCACAGAGATCTGCCTGCCTCTGCCTCCTAAGTGCTAGGATCAAACGTGTGTGCTACCACACCCCGATAAGAATACAACTTTTGATTCCAGTAAATATTATGAAGTACATACATAAGCAGCGAGAAGATTGGAGAGAGCTTGACAATCATGGAGGACCTCTCTGAGGGGAAAAAAAATTGAGCTGGGTCCAGAACACTGAGAAAGAGTCTGTCTCACAAAGAGCAGAAGGAAAACCCAGTCCTGAGTCTGGAAAGCACTGATTGGATTTATTTAAGGAACAGGAAGCAAGCCAGTGTGGCTGAGTGGAAGGAGCTGGGGGAGGGGAATTGGAGGAGTCACAAGTTTCATAAATGGGAGGGGTGTCCCTGCCCACAGTCTCCAAACGGTACCCTCCTTAAGTTGTATGACACATAGCCAGGACAAGGATTTGTTTCCGTTTTTCTGAGCAGACTTTCAATTCAACACACACACACACACACACACACACACACACACACACACACACACACACACACACACTCAGAGCTGATCATGTATCAGTCAACCCTGCTCAAAACAGAATCGATGAGTTATTTGTGATGTAGATGCTAAGTCCCGTGTTTCATTGGCTCTCTCCATTCCTCTCTCCTCTTGGCCCCTCCCCTTTCAAGCTTCCTGGTCCAGTGTGAGCCCACTGTTGGCAGCTGCCCCACTTGCCACCTCCTGAGCCCACCCCTCAGCAGCTGCTCTGCCTAGGGAGGGGTAAAGGAGGCGCTCAGAGGAAGACTGGAGGCCAGGGGCTAAGTTAGGAGCACAGGAGGTCCTGCCTGGCTGTGGATGATCACAGGCGACCGCAGAGCTGGAGACCATGTTCTAAACGGGCCAGGCAGTGGCTTGTCAAGATCTTCAGGCCAGAGCACTTCAGGAAAGAAGATGCTGTTAGGGTCGAGAGGGACCGCAGCATGATTGAAAGGTGCCACCTGTCAGATCTTCAGGGGAAATTTGAGCCTCCCAGTCTAAGAGAAAGTGTTGTACCAACAGGGCGGTAAACAATGCTCTTCCCGGGCTTCTAGAAGGGGGTGGAGGGGGGGGGGAGTGAAAGCAAGGAGGCGGGACTATGAGCTGGGGGCTCAAAGCTACCAGAACTTAAAGGACCATGGGAGTAAGGCTACTCAACGGGAACGAGGCAGGAGCTCCCAAGCTGCAGGCAGAACCCCACAGGTAGGAAAACCCCTGGGCCCTTTTCGAATTACTCCAGCCCCTACTCTTCCTTCCAAGAGCCGGATCTTCTAACAGCGACCCTACAATGAAAGAAATTCAGGCTGCTTCCGAATTCTCTCCACTATATCAACTGTTTTTAGCTGCCTAAAGGAGTTGGGTAAAACGAGGCCAGGTACAGAGTAGCCTGCAAGTGGCCAACTATGAAGAAGGCCTCAGGGGGACAGGTGGAGATCTTGGGGGACTTGGGACGACGCAATGGCCTCTCCAAGAAAAGGCTGAGTTGTAAAGTAGGGGCCTCAGAACTACTGGGAGAGGGACTGGGCAGTAGGAGGAGATAGAGGCATCCCAGAAACAGCGAGCATCACTCACACTGTTGAAGGCTCGGAACTTGGGTTTTCCTTCTGGATTGGGGGAGCTGAACTGAAAAGCCGAACTGGACACAAGATAGGGGTAATAGTTGGGGTTCAGGAGGACGAGGGAAGAAGGAAGCAGGGAGTAAAGCTGGAAAGGAGTGATGAAGAAAGCTTTGGTGAAGGGTCTAGTGTGCACTTACAGGAGAGAGAAAAACTGCTCAGCCTTATTGAGTGGCTCCTCGCCACAGGTGCGATGACCAGTCTTCTGAGCTGGGACTGCTGAAGGGGCACTGGGCTGAGGATCGAGTGGGAAAAGTATCCTCAATCCATGCTCTAACCCGGGACTCAGGAGACCTAGGTTCCAGGTGTGGTTTGGCCCACTTAATTCTCCTATGACGTTAGTCTCAAGAACTATAATCCCTAAACCAGACTCCTAAACTTTAAAAGGGGGCTAGTTCCACCCTTCTGAGGGGTCCGTCAAGGAGTGACTAAGGTAAAGCAGAGCACTTCAGTGTAAGCTGCAAACTGCCGTAGCATCATGAGCACTGGGGGAGGAGAGCTAGCCTCACTCCTCAGAATTCAGAGCTTCTTCACTCCTTGTCTATTTGTGACAAGCCCAGAGGGGAAAGCAGAGGTGACGAACAGGCAAGGTAACTGAGGTGTGCGCATATGTTCCCATGCATACTGTCCCCCTGCCCCCAAGTGTGTAGTGTGCAGCTAGAAAGATGGTTGAAGCAATCCGCTATGTCTTAGCCAAATATGCCGCACTTGGGGGTATAAAAAGGGCTGTTACCATCTTACTGACATCCAGTTCTCTCTGGCTTATGTCACTCACAATGCCCTGGGGACCAGGTCAGGTCCTCACCCTGGCTCAGGGATGGCACAGTCAATCTTCACCAGGCAAGCTGTGGAGTAAGGACTCCTTCCAAATACTGCCCATGTGCTAGCGACCTAAGCCTTCCACTCTCCATGTGGGCCAGACCTATTCTATCTACAGAAGTGAAAAGGCAGAACAAGCGTCACACAGTAAACAGAGGCAGCTGGAATCCTGCCGTCACAAGACCACAATGCCTTCCACCACTGACTCACACCGTCTTCCCCATGAGGACAGAGAGGGAAGAGGGTTTGTGGCTCATTCAGATCTTGAACATGGTTTTGTCAATGGGATCAATGGGAATGCCTCACGGACAGCATTCCAGTAAGGAAAGAGGGCAAAGAGAAAACCCATGGCCAGGAAGGTCTAGGAAAAGGTGAATTCAATGATATTCAAGCTAAGTTTTCAGTTTTTTTTTTTTTTTTTAACTCAGTGGCACCTGATACCTGCTTAAGTGCTAATGATGCTGTGTATCTCTAGGAGGGTGAAAAGCTGGCTATATTTGGAACAACCTTGGTCAGTGAATAAATACATCTTCCTCTCACTGTCAAGAGAACCTTTTTGTCCTCTTTCTCTCTCTCTCTCTCTCTCTCTCTCTCTCTCTCTCTCTCTCTCTCTCTCTCTCTCTCCAGCCTCAGCTGGCCTCAGCTCACCATGTGCTGGGACTGATCCTCCTGCTTCTACCTCGCAAATGCTAGGATTACAGGCATGTACCACGATACTCAGTTTATACTGTGCTGGAGGTTGAATCTAGGGCCTTGCTTGTTTTAGGAAAGCACTCTGCCGGTGAACCCATCCCTTTTGTGTGTGCCACACCTCTACAGAGTACTGTCTAGAAACATCTGATCTAAAGCTGGGGCTCAGACGGAATGCTCAGTAAGTGACTAGAATGCCAGGGTCCATGTGCCGTGACCTCCTGACCACCACCCGTGCGTGCTGCTACACAGATGCTTTCCCCCTCTTGCTAGAATATGTGGCTGGAGCTGCTTCACCACAAAGGGGCTATCATGGTGGACAGTCTTCATACCTTTACAAAATTCCATCTGCCTCCTAGAAAGTGGAGAGCACCATACCCAGAGACCCCAGGACTCCTGTCTGGAGGAACAGGAACAAGGAAGTGGGTGGCAGAATGTATCTTGTCTTCATGCCGCCTGGGCTCTGTCCAGTTTACCAAGGTGTCCTAGGTACTCTCACCAAGAAAGAAAGTACTGCCAAGAGCAGGAGGTATTTTTAGCCAATGACAGGAGTGTCCACTTTTCTTACTGTCTGAGTCATGCCCTGAACTCTATTTGGGAGCTGTTTTCTTTGTAACTAGACCCCCAACAAGAGAAGGTAACGAGGGAATTGGCCCCGTCCCCACACCAAAACTATATACCATACTCAAAGAGGAATCCCCAAGTTAAGGGGTCTTCTCCACATGTATCCAAGAGCAGGTGGAGGCCAGCTTTGCAGACTAGAGAGGATGTGATTCTATTCTCTCACCAAAGCAAACTCTTCTCATTCACTTTTTCAAGAACCACAGAGGTTCAGAGACTCGCCTGCCCCGGGGCTCCCAAATCGTGAGTATTTTTACACCATCTCTATGATCTGACATTTGTACCATCTTTACTCGTTTCCTAAATGCCTGTCTTGTTTTGAATTAAGTTATTTTTAAATCCAATAATGCGTTTTAAAAAGACACTTCAGATCACTGCTGGAGATGGAAGCTCGATATCGCTTACCAGAAATAGAAGGTAACTGAAAATCCATACAATAGAAGCAAAGCAGGGCTGTTCAGTTCTGTTGGCCAGCCTGCTTTCGGCTCTAGGGGGCGAGCAGCAAATGTTCCTTCCAGGTTCCAGAACAATGGTATTACATTGTGACCACCTCCCTTGTTAATCAAAGTGAGGCAAAATCATTGAAAAGGCACTATGTGAGGCTGGACATTTCACTCAGGGGTAAAGTGGTGGCTTGCATGCATGAAGCCCTAGGTTTGATGACAGCAATAATAATAATAATAATAATAATAATAATAATAATAATGGCCAAGTATGGTGGTGCAAGCCTGTAGTTCCAGCACTCAGGAGACAGAGGCAGTAGAATCAGGAGTTCAAGGAAATCCCCTGCTACAAAACAGGTTTGAGGCCAACCTGGGCTACATGAGACCTTGCCTCAAAATAATAACAATAAAAAAAAGTCAGGGGACTGGACCTACCTGGACTGAGGGGACTGGACCTACCTGGACTGAATCTACCAGGTTGAACTCAGTCTGTGGGGAAGGCTTTGCCCTGGAGGAGATGGGAATGGGGGGGGGGGCTGGGGGGAAGGTGAGGGGGACGGGAGGGGGGAGAACAAGGGAATCCGTGGCTGATATGTAGAACTGAATTGTATTGCAAAATAAAATAAAAAAAAATAAAATAAAAAGTCATAGCATACAGAAGGGCCTTGGGTAAATACCATCCAATATCAAGTCAATATGGCCCAACTGCCCCACTTTAGCAAAAGAAGCGCTCTATCCTTCATGTTACCACAGGGAGAGTGGGTATGTTGTCATGCCCAACTAGTTAGGGAAACAGGACAGAACCAGAGACTTCTTGACTCCCGGGCCAGGGCACTCAGTGGGCAGGGTCTGCACCTCATGCTGGAGTAGTGTGTGACAAAGTCTTCATGTCTTCTCTTTCTAGACATGGAACGGACAGAAGAGAGTCCCTCTGAGAACGGGACCACTGTCTCCCCAACTGCGGGGAATCTTGACACACCAGGAAATCAAAGCACTGCGGAGGAGGTGGCCAAAGGTCCAGCTGGGACAAGTGTCAAAGACCCTCCGGATGAGGCAGAACAGGAGGGTAAAGCAGCCCCCAAGGGGGCTGTGTCGGGGGAGTGTCCGGAGGACGCAAGTGTATTAGATGAGCTCAAGGTAGACCTGCAAGGGGAGGCCAGTGGGAAGGAGGAAGCCAAGGGTGACCTTGCAGAGGAGGAGGGTGGGAAGGAGGAGACCACCATGGCTTCCCAGGAAGAGACTGGCAGGAAAGAAGACACAACACCTGAACCCAGCGAGGTTAAGGGAAAAAAGGAGGCCATGCTGGCCCCAGAGAAGCAGAAGTCTGACGGAAAAGAGGCCAATCTGGACTCTAAGGAGAAATTCGATGTGAGTGATAAAGCCAAGCCTGAACCCAAGGAGGGTGCTGGGGCAGAGGTTACTGTCCAAGAGGCTGAGATGGAATCTCAGAAGAAGGCTGATGTGAAGGACCAGGCCACAGCTGAACTTCAGGCAGTCGATGGGAAGGAGGTCGTCGATGGGAAGGAGGTCATCGATGGGAAGGAGGTTGTCGATGGGAAGGAGGTCATCAATGGGAAGGAGGTCGTCGATGGGAAGGAGGTCGTCGATGGGAAGGAGGTCGTCGATGGGAAGGAGGTCGTCGATGGGAAGGAGGTCGAAAGTGGCACAAAGGAGCTGGTGGTGAGTAGGGCAGAAAGGAGGGTCTCGAGTCCCCTCTTCCTCGGGAACCGAGGCCTCCCTGACTCCCTCGTTTGTTTATTGTTGTTGCTGCTGCTACAAATCCCCCAAGCAGACCAATTTAAAGGGGGAGAGTTTTATTTTGGCCCGTGGTTTCGAAGGTTTCAGTCCTGGCTTCATTGCCTTGAGGTCTGTGATAAGGCAGAAATATGAGAGGGGAAAACTGTTTTCCTTACAGCAGTCAAGAAACAGGAGACAGAGAGGGAGAAGAAATCTCTGAACATAAGACATTCCCCTCACTGGGGAGATGGCTCAGTGGGTAAAAACTCTTGCTAAGAGGGCAGAAGCACCTGGGTTCAAATCCCCAGAACCCATGTAGGAGTCAGGCACAGTAGTACACATCTGAAGTCCCCGTGTGCCTGAGGGAAGGCCAAGACGGGAGAATCCTACTACACACCGGAGGACAACAAAGAGAACTGGTTTGAAAGAAGGAGGAAGTAAGGGTTACACCTGAGGCTGTCCTCTGACTTACACGTGCACGCATGCACGCACACACTCACACACACACACACACACTGTGGCATGCGTGTGCCCATACTCACACACATAAATACATTCACATACACACACACACAATCGCAGCACACACACACATCACAAACACACATGCATCACATAAAAGATATGCCCTTCAAAGGCACACCCCCCCCCCCATGATAGATCCTCTAAGTAGTCTGTTGATGAGGTTAGAACCCTCATGATAGCTACCTCTCAGTAGACTGTGTGGCCACTTTCTATCCAAATCATACCTTGGGAAAGTACAATCTTCCTCCACCAGGTATCAAGATCCTGGGAGTGGGGATGGGGAAAGGAGATTGTGGCTCAGACTGCCTTCCAAATCTTTCTGAAGTTCTTAGAAAGCCTTGGGTAGCTGCCCACACAGATCCTGTCCACCCCAGGAGCCAGGGAGTCCCACTGAAGAGCAGGAGCAGGGTGAGGAAAAAGAATCAGAAGAAAGGACAGCGGTGATTCCCAGCTCCCCCGAGGAGTGGCCTGAGAGCCCCACAGATGAGGGAACCAGCCTCAGCCCAGGTAAGGGAGAGCCCAGGGTGTTGCATGACTACCCTGAGGAAGGATGCTGCAGGGAGCACAGGACAGACAGCCTCAGCTTCCTTCTGCTCTCTTCCTTCCCTCCAGATGGCTTGGGTCCAGACTCTACGGCGTCTGGAGAGACCAGTCCTTCAGCCAGGTAATCTCAAGCCCTGGAGCTCTGACTCCTCCAGTCTCCTGCTCCTTTTGAAGTCAACTGTCACCTCTCTCTGGGCCTCCCCAGACCTGATTTCCAGATATTCCAGGATTCCTTGTATCTCAGACAGATCCCAGAAAACAAATGGAGGGAGAGGCATGAACGGTGCCTGGTCTACCTCCTGCTCCGTGGCTGAAGCCTCTTCAGGCCCCACAAGTATTCGTTACAGCTCTCTAAGTGTCGTCCATAAGAAGGGTCAGAAAGCCTGAGTCTGGACAATGGCTCTGCCGCTTACCAGCCCGGTGACCTTGGCTGTGTCCCTTAGCCTCTTCGCGTCTGTGAAGTGGATATAACAATTGTAAGGACCTCACCGGGTTATTGTAGGCTCCAGTGACTTGTGAGCAAGAAAAGCGCCTGAGCACACAGTGCCTGCCTGACATATGGGAAGCGCTACACAGCTAGCCTTATTCTTCCATCGCGCACACTTCAGTCACTTCCCTGTCTCTTGGGGAAAGCTGACCAATGAATACTCAGCAAGCATTTGCGCAGCTTTGTAGTAAGCGGCAGCTACCTGACCCCGTTCTTCTGTAGGCCTCAGAATCACCTTGTTAGGTAGGCATTCTTGTCCCCATTTTACAGACGGGGAAGCCGAGGCTCAGAGAAGTAAGGGGGCAGCCCCAAGATCACACAGCAAATAAGAACAAAGCCAGGATCCAGACTCAGGTCAGAGCCCAGGTGTGCCCTAGTTCTGCCCCCTATGGCCTCAGCAGACCACGTGTTCCCCAGAGTTAGCCTGAGTCTGTTTACTGCTTCTTGACCCTTCCAGTGCTAGGCACAGGATGAGTGTGTGCACCAATTAAGCTTAACTGCGCAGGCCTGTCTATGGCAGTGACCTCTGCCCAGCCAGCCCCCCAGAGCTGTTCTGCACCCTATGGTGTCAGTTGAACCTCCTTTCATGCTTCTGTGACCTCTCCATGTAGTGAGTCTTCGCCCAGTGACGTGCCCCAGAGCCCCACGGAGCCCCCACCCTCGGAGGAAAAAAAGGAGAGAGCACCAGAGCGCAGGGTGTCGGCCCCTGCTCGGCCCCGGGGACTCCGTGCACAGAATCGCAAAGCCATCATGGACAAGTTTGGCGGGTAGGATGCAAACCAGGAGTCAGGGTGGGCTGAGATTTCCCTAGGATTTGTGGATGGGGCTAATGGAGGGAGGTCTGGGGGCCAGTGGAAACCATCAAGGCCAGACACACACCTGTAGCCTGAGATTCCTCACAATGGGATGTTTGTGGTTTCTTGCCCCTCTCCTCACAGGGCAGCCTCGGGCCCCACTGCCCTCTTCCGGAACACGAAAGCCGCGGGGGCAGCCATTGGTGGTGTTAAGAACATGCTTTTGGAGTGGTGCCGGGCCATGACGAGAAAGTATGAGGTGGGCAGGGGCTGGGGATACAGAAGGGACAGGGGACACTTTTTTTCCTCCGGGGCAATAGTGCGGTGGAGAATCCGAGGGTTCGGATTCCAAAGGGTGAGAGAGGCAAAGTCCAGGCCCCCCAGCCCGGGGCCACGAAGGTCTTCCATCCCCTGCCTGTCTATCTCAGCACGTGGACATCCAGAACTTCTCCTCCAGCTGGAGCAGCGGCATGGCCTTCTGCGCCCTCATCCACAAGTTTTTCCCAGACGCCTTTGACTATGCAGAGCTGGACCCATCAAAGCGGCGGCACAACTTCACCCTAGCCTTCTCCACTGCAGAGTAAGCCTCAGTCCCGGCATGGCAGAGTCAGAAGGGAAGTGGGTGGCCCCAGGGGAGTCCAGGTGCGTGCAAAGGGTGCATGTGGGCAATCAAGCTAAGGCTACTGCCACACAGCCTTGTATCTGAGGGTTTATTTTTTAAAGCAGCTCTGGGTAAATGGCTCAAACAGAGAAAACTATGCTCCACTGTGGCTTATATTCTAAATGAATAGACAGGTCGTAAGAACATGCATGCAGATAACATATAAGCAGTGACAGGTGCCCTGAAGAAAACTCTGGGGCCGAGGAGATGGTTCAGTTGGTAGAATGCTTGCAGCACCACCGTGAGGACCTGAGTTCCATCCCCAGGACCATGTAAAATGCCAAGGGCGGCACAGACAGGCAGATCCCTGGAACTTGCTGACCATACTAGCCTAATTGGTGACCCTTCAGTTTGGTGAGAAACCAAGACTCAAACAACATGATAGGCGGCTCCTGAGGTACAACATCCAAGGTTGACTTCGGGCCTCCACAAACCTGAACACGCATGTGCACATGAACACACACATCCAAAGAAAATTCGAAATTCAAGCAGAATAAGGGAGAGAAGAAAGGTAAGCCTTCTGGTTTGGGACAGGGGGGTTACAGAAACTTGAGGTTAGGTTTTGACTCTGTGTAACCTTGGACACGCCCACACCCCTTTATCTCCATGATGTTTCCCCTTTTACGGAGATAAGAACTCAGTAACATAATTAAGTCCCTGTAACCCGCCGGTAACAGGGCCTAACCCACAGCAAAGCCCTTCAAACACTCTTGGCTACATGACTATCATTATAAAGAATGATGTCACGGCTGTTATGGTAATTACCATTCACTCTGGGTCCTGGAGGGGCATTATTGCCGAGGCTCATACAGCCACATGTCAAGGGTAGCAGCTGCTGGAAGGGTGGTGTCAGGAAGAGTGGGGCTGATGGAAGAAACTGAGACAAAGACAAGGCTTTGAACAATGGGTGTGGTGACACAGGACTATATTCCCAGCGGTCACGAGGCTGAGGCAAGAGGATCTCAAGTTCTAGGCCCACGTGGGATATGCGGCGAGAGAGCCTATCTTAAGACAAAAGCAACCAACCAACCAACCAAACAAAAAAACATGGTTGCCAGAGTGGGGAAAAGGGGTCTGGGTTCCCACCATCTTCAACCTCCCACCTCCAACCTGGGCGATGACCCCAGAAAGAAACTTGTAAGTCACTGGTGGAAACAGGGTTGTACAGGGAGTGTGGTGAACACGAGGGCAACTCAGGCCCCTGACAGACAGACAGGTGCTTTTTCTAAAGCCCACACATAGTGGTGTGTGCCTATAATTTCAGCACCCCAAGACTGAAGCAGGGTTGCTGAGAATTTGAGGCCGGCCTCATGTCTACAGTAAGACACCATCGATCAACAGCTAAGGGTGTACTTCAGTTTATAGGGTGCTTGCTTCCCGTTCACGAAGTCCTGCGTTTGATCACCAAATGTGATGGGGCACACCAGTAACCCTAGCTAGAGGAGCGAGAGGCACGAGAATCAGAAATTCAAGGTCATCCTTGACTACACACGGAGTTGGAGGTCAGCCTGTGCTACAGGAGAGGCCTGTCTCAAATAAATAAACATATAAACCCTAGGAATGGCAGTACCAAGTTGTCTGGCCTGGGAAGCCAACCCCTCTCGTCTAACCCAGGCATGGCCACCCACCAGTGGGGAGGAATGTGTGTTTTCCTCAGGAAAATGAGAGTATTATATTGATCCATACTTCTCAACTTTTTTTTTTTAAACAGCAAGTTTTCTCAGACATTGGTTGAATGAGCTACATAGCATACATATGAAGGGGAGACCTTCCAGTTTGTTGATCAGTGGCCAACTCTCTTTTTCCTAAGAGGGTCTCTGGGGACATGTCCTTAGGGCCATGGGACACATGGATGTCACTTAAAAGCCACCAGATGGCCGGGTATGTAGCACATGCCTTTAATCCCAACACTTGAAAGGCAGAGGCAAACAACAAAATTCCAGCCAGACTCTGTATTCCGGACAGTCTCTTCCGTTTTCTGTTGTTCTGCCGTGGGATGTGACGGTCAGTGAAAATGGAGTCGTATTTCAGCTCAGCGATGCTGAGTAAAAACTCCATAAACCAAGCAAGCACCTGCCGAGTGTTTGCCTGGACCCACTCACTTGTCCTCACAGGTGGAGGTGGGCAGAGGGGCTAGGGTCTTCCCAGGTCCTACAGGAGGACTGTGGCAAGGTAGGTGTTATGTGACTCCTGGTCTAGCTAAGCTTAGAGGCAACAAAAGAGCAGGCAGCTCTGCCCCAGCCAAACATCCTAATCCAGGGAGTGCAAGCCTGGTTTCCAGTGAGGCAGAGCCCCGGAGAGGCAGAGGATGAGCTGAGGATGACTGCAGGCCTTGGGAAGCACCAGGCAGCTGAACAGGACCGAGGCTAAGGAGAATTATAGAAATGGAGAGTGGAGCCGGGTGGCAGTGGTGCATTCCTCCAATCTCAGCACTTGGAAAGCAGAGCCAGGCGGATCTCTGTGAGTTCCGAGGCCAGCCTGGTCTACAGAGTGAGATCCAGGATAGGCACCAAAGCTACACGGAGTAACCCTGTCTTGAGAAAGAAAGGAAGGAAGGAAGGAAGGAGAGAGAGAGAGAGAGAGAGAGAGAGAGAGAGAGAGAGAGAGAGAGAGAGAGAGAGAGAGAAAGGAAGGAAGGAAGAAAGGGAGAGAGAGAAAAGAAAGAAAGAAAGAAAGACAGGAAGGAAGACAGGAAGGAAGACAGGAAGGAAGACAGGAAGGAAGGAAAAGAGAGAGAAAAGAAAGAAAGGGAGAGGAAAGAAAGAGAGAGAGAGAGAAAGAAAGAAAGAAAGAAAGAAAGAAAGAAAGAAAGAAAGAAAGAAAAAGGGAGAGTGGAGAATCATACTTGAGGTGCCAGGGTTTGAATCCCTACTCCTTTTTCCTAACTCTGAGGCCTCTCAGAAGTGACAGGTGAAAGGGGGCCTCTGCCACAGCTATTGCCCTGAGCTCCTGATCCAGAACTCTCCTCTAGTTCTCAAAGGCCTGGCGGGAATAGAAGAAATGACCAGTCCAGAGCCCCAGTGGGGCTGCACCGCTGCACTGTTGGAGGAGCCCTGCTCTGTTCCGGGCTCCATTGGCACAAAGGGCCTGCCTTTCCAGTGCTGGGGGAATAGCAGCGGCCCACACCCATGGGACTGAGGTTGAAGCCCTGGATGCAGAGAGCTTGCTTGTCCTAGTCTTCAAAACCCTTCACACTGGGCCTCTCCCCCAGCTTCCAGGCCAGTGGCTTACACATCAGCCCAACTGTGGCAGCCCCGAGAGAGGATTTCCGCTGGGCCTTCTGGGCCTTCTGGCTCCCACGGCCAGCATCCATCGTCGGCTGGCTGTGGCAGCCCACACTGCTGAGAGCCAAGGTGCAAGAGGCACTGGGCAGGCTTAGGGCTGAGTCCCAGCTGTTACACTCCCACCGTGGGCAAAGCACCAAACCCTCTGAGCTCAGTTCCTCCTCTGCTCGTTAGAGATAAAGAGGAGTAACCGAGACCATCTCCCGGGATCACCCGATAAGACACCTGGCACCGGGCAGGGAGGCCCCAGCAGCGATTAGGCCAGCTTATCAGCCTCAGCAGAGCCAGGGATATCAAGTAGCCTCAAAATGCAGCTGGGACGTTAAAACAGGAGGACTTGCTGGGTTCCCTGCAGTCTGGAAACACACCAAGCCGTCCTGCAAAGGACCTCTGCAAATGCCCTTTCTCCACCTGCTGTCCAGCACCCTACTACAAATTACCAGAGGTCCCCTCTAGCACAGAGCGGTCCTTTTCTGCTACCTTTTTCTCCCTTGCACCTCTCACCAGTCTGATACCCCTTCTGCCTCATGCGTTGGATTTCTTTGGCACCGCAGAGAGCAGAGTTTTGGCTATTCACTGCTGACCAACAGAAGACGGCCTGGCACCCAGTAGGCGCTTAACAAATAGGTGATCTAACTGAATGGAGCTGCAGGGCTGCCACAAGCCAGCACTCTAGGTAGGACTCATGTTCTGTCCTCTGAAGTATTTGCTGTCCCTAATCCACAGCACTGCTGTCCTTATGTTCAAGAAGGAAGCTAATACAGGCTAGAACACAGAGGTTCCCGTGTGAGGATATGGAGACCCAGGTCCATCTTGCCCCTGCAGGGGCCTCAGTTACCACACTCAACCCACCCTAGAATGGCTGACCTGGTGGCCTTCGCTTGCCTGGACCCACCTCCTCGGCTCCCTCCTCACCTTTGACCCTCTGCTCCTCATTCCACCCTCAGGAAACTAGCCGACTGTGCCCAGCTGCTGGACGTGGATGACATGGTGCGGCTGGCCGTGCCCGACTCCAAGTGTGTCTACACCTACATCCAGGAGCTGTACCGTAGCCTTGTGCAAAAAGGGCTGGTGAAGACCAAAAAGAAATGAATGGCAAAGCCGTGCGGGCGGAGGAAGGGGGGGGCAGCTGACAACGGTAGACTGGGCCTCCAGGCGTGAAACAGGTGGCACCGGTCTCAATGGCATTAAAAGAACTGTTGTAAAATCCCTCTCATTCCTTGATGCTCCCCGCACCCCAACCAGCCACATGTATGCAATAGGCGGTGGCCAAAAATAAAAAGAAACCCGCATTTGGAGCTAGGGATGGCAATTTGCTCTCTCTCCTCCCTCTCCTCTCTTCCCCTCTCCCCTCTCCTCCTCCCTCTCTCCACTTCCCACAGTGGGGGAACTTCTAGACAGGAAGTAGACTATCTCTAGAAATCTCTCCAAACTGGGCTGCTGCGACCGGCCAGTGGGTGGCGCTCTTGAGATGGACAACATTAATTTTTATTTGAAACTCAATGGTTTCAAATAAAATTAATCCCTCCTACTCTGGCTGAAGTTTTACCTTGTGTTGTTCCGCTGTATCGAAGCTCAGTTGATAATAGAGGACTGGTCTGGCATATATGAAGCTGTGAGTTCATTCTCTAGCACCAAACAGGGAAGGATAATCAGATATGCTGCCAAGGCTATAGGAAGAAATGTGGTCTCTGCTGATTGACAGATAACATATGCCCAATTCACTGATGAGCTGTTCCCTCGTCTGGAAAACACTGGTGTCCCTCCTGTAGACCTTCGGAAGGCGCCTTGAGGATGTTCTACTCAGGGCCAGCTTTCCTTATAATGTGTGGTGAATATCCACACTCTGTTAGTCCCCAGCCAGCCCTCTTTCTGATGAAACACTTAATCCATGAGACTCAGAAGGTAGAAGGCATAGGCCACCAAGCCAGGTGGGTGACCTTAGTTGAATTCTTAGGACCTACATAGTGGAAAGAGAAAACTGTCTCCCCAAAATTGATCCTTTACCTGCACTCCCAGGCCATAGTGTGCTCACCAGCCCCTACACAAACACACAAAATAAATAAAAATGTAACAAAAACTTAAAAAAAAAAAGCTATCCTCTCATGGAAAACGTAGTTGAACTCTGGAATTCATCTGTGAAGTTAATGGCAAACCATCTAGAAGCATGAAGTCCGGTTTCTGGGATGGAGTTTAGACCCTTCATTTTGAGACTCATCAGCGGAAAATAAAATGTTTAACACTTAAATCTGGGCACGCCTATAACAAGTGTGGCTGATCTCAACCACTCAACAGGGAATTTGGCTCCTTCTGTGTGCCCAGCCTTCCAGCCACAGTCCTGCCTTCCTTACTCCTTGGTGCCTGGGCCCTGAGGCATTTAGTTTTCTGCCGGTTGGCCTGGAAGGTAGCCTAAGACGGAGAACTGGCAAGCAGGCCTGAAACTGGGCAAACCTAACTTCCCCTGGCTTTGAGAGAGGCCAAGGACGTGGGAACGGCACATCTACAGCCATACGACTCGCAGAAGGAGCACACATCACACAGACCCTCCCCCATACACACACACAGTAGGCACATTTATTGGTAATCAGCAGCTACAAAGAAAAACTTGAGCACAAGATGGTGCCAGTCTCTGATATCCATCCACTCAGCAGAAGATCCAGGCAGAGAGGCCTCAGAACCAGCCTTAAGAGGGTCGGTCCACTCCAAATTGAAGGGTGAATTCCTCTGCCTTCTGCCTGAACATCTCCGGGTTCTGAGTCAGGAGGTCAGCAAGTTCCAACCGCACAGGCTCCTCTGGATTTGGTCTACTCACCAGCATGTTGAGGGCCTCCAAGACTGGAGAGAGAGGACAGAGAAGGGCATCGGGGCCAAGGAGAACCGTGGGAGGAGGTTAGGGCCATTCATCCCCAGATTCTCCCCAAGCCCCACAATCATTCCTCAGGGGACCCCACGAGGGTTCCACCACTTGGGATGGCTCCACAGCCAAAGCAGATGTCCCTCTCACTCTTCCTTCGTTTTATACAGGGTCTTGTCATGGAGCCCAGGCTGCCCTCACACCAGAGCTCCTCTGCCTCCTGTGTACCAGGATTACCAACACACCCCACCACATCTGACTGTAGGTCTACAGTTTTCAACAACTATTCGCCATGGCTTCAAAGAAGCTTCTCATGAGATAAGTGAGAGTCCTGGTCTTCACTCTCATCTTTTTTTCTTCCTTTTCATTATTCTTCTCTCATACAACATGTCCTGACCACAGCCTCCCTTCCCCACTCCTCCCAGTGCCCCTACACCATCTCCGCTCTCCCCCAGATCCACTCCTCCTCCCTTTCCCTTCAGAAAAGAGCAGGCCTCCCAGTGATATCAACTGGACACAGAATAACAAGATGCAGTAAGATTAGGCACAAATCCTCATATTAAGGCTGAACAAGGCAACCCGGTAAGAGGAAAAGGGTCAGAGACACCCCACGCCCACTGTTAGGAGGAGTCCCACATAAAACCCAAGTTTAACAGCTACAGCATGTATGCAGAGGACCTACCTAGCACAGACCCATGCAGGCTCCGTGATTGTCGCTTTTGTAGATCAGGCTGGTCTTGAACTCACAGAGATCCACCTGCCTCTGCCTCCCAAGTGCTGGGGTTAAAGGTGTGGGCCACCACCACCTGGCTGTTTCTGTTTTGTTTTTAAGATTTGTGTGTGTGTGTGTGTGTGTGTGTGTGTGTGTGTGTGTGTGTGCCCACATTTGTACAGATGATCTTGGAGGCAGAAGGGGGAGCTGGAACCCCTAGAGCTAGAGTTACAGGGAGTTGTGAGGGGCCTAATGTGGGTGCTGGGAACTGAACTGTTCTCAGCAAGAGCAGCAATCACTCCTAAATGATGAACCATTTCTCAAACACCCTGGTTTTCTGTTAGATTGGGATTTCAAAGAAACTTTTATTTGGGGTAAGGGGTTCTAAACTAAAGACTGAAAACGGTTCCCACCCCAGTGGCTTCCAATCTTCTCAACTGCTTTTGGGAACCTGGGGAGGTGGCATTCAACCCTCCTAGGCAGGTGCACAAATGTCTATGCCCTCATTGGTGAAGAGGGCATCCCAGGCCCCTAGGGCTCATCCAAGCCCCACTCCTTGTGTCTCCCCTGCCCTGGGGGTCCTTGTTCTCCTAAATCAAGAATCCTGAGCAGGCCAGACACAGGTTGGCACCCAGGTTGAGTTCACAGACTTCAGAGCTTTACTGGCCAACGTGGTCACTACTGCTTACATGTTATTTAAGTTTAAATTCATGGAAGTTCGATACAATTGAGAATTCAGTTCCAGTTTCTTTTTTTTTTTTGGTTTTTTCGAGACAGGGTTTCTCTGTGTAGCTTTGCGCCTTTCCTGGAACTCGCTTTGGAGACCAGGCTGGCCTCGAACTCACAGCGATCCACCTGGCTCTGCCTCCCGAGTGCTGGGATTAAAGGCGTGCGCCACCACCGCCCGGCTCAGTTCCAGTTTCTTTAACCACAGGGGACTATGGTATTAGTCACTGGAGACACAGCTGGCATTTCCAACACTACAGAAAGACCTGTTAATGCTCTAGAATCAGGTGTGTCCAACTTGGGGCTCAACACAAAATTATGAGCTTGCTTAAAACATGGTATTTATTTTTGCCCTTGTGGGGGTGGCTTGATAACACAGTTCTCAAGCATGAATTTTGCAGATGACAACTTCCTTTTACAATATCATTGTCTTAGGGTTTCTGTGGCTGTGATGAAAGACCGCGACCAAAAGCACCTTGGGGAGGAAAGGGCTTCTTTCAGCTTACAACTCTCAGGTCTCAGTCTGTCATTGTGGGAAGTCAGGATAGGAACCAAAGCAGAGGCCATAAACGAACACTGTCTATTGGCTTGCTCCTCACAGTTTGCTCAGCCTGATTTCTTTCTTTCTTTTTTTTTTTTTTAAGATTTATTTATTTATTATGTACACAGAAGAGGGCACCAGATCTCATTACAGATGGTTGTGAGCCACCATGTGGGTGCTGGGAATTGAACTCAGGACCTCTGGAAGAGCAGTCAGTGCTCTTAACCTCTGAGCCATCTCTCCAGCCCTCAGCCTGCTTTCTTATACAACTCAGAACCAGCTGCCCAGGGATGACACCACCCACAGTGGGCTGGGCCTTCTCACATCAATCTTTAATCATGAGAATGCTGGGCAGACTTACTTATAGGCCAATCTTATGGAGACGTCTTCTCATTTGAGAGTTCCCTTTCCCAAATGCTTCTAGCTTGTGTCAAGCTGCCATAAAAGTAACCACCACCCTACACCCGCTAGATCCAGCCAAGCTCTGCCCCTCAGCACCTGTAGGGCCTTATTCAACAGCTTCACCCTTCATAAGCTTCAGTGTCTCCATTTATTCAATCAGGCTAATGGTGACACCATCTCATAGGAAGAGATGATGGTCCTCTTACCCCAAGCCCTTCCCTCTGCAGGCAAGCTCGCTCTCTCTCGCTCTCTCTCTCTCTCTCTCTCTCTCTCTCTCTCTCTCTCACACACACACACACACACACACTCTCACACACACACACACACCATGGCAAAGTTTCTCAGTCACATCTGAAATAGTATACCAACCATCCAGTATCTAGGGAAGCATCTCTTCATTCAACAGGTTCACCTCAGACTCACATTTTTTTTTTTTTTTTTTTTTTTTTTGGTTTTTCGAGAGGGTTTCTCGGTGTAGCTTTGCGCCTTTCCTGGATCTCGCTCTGTAGACCAGGCTGGCCTCGAACTCACAAAGATCCGCCTCCCGAGTGCTGGGATTAAAGGCGTGCGCCACCACCGCCCGGCTCAGACTCACATTTTTATCACCTCTGATTTATTCATTTTTTAAAATGTATTTGGGCTGGAGAGATGGCTCAGCAGTTAAGAGCACTGGCTGCTCTTCCAAAAGTCCTGAGTTCAAGTCCTAACACCCACATGGTGATTCATAACGATCTTTAACTATAATCCCATGGGTGTGCATGCAGCACCCTTGAAGGACAAAAGAGGGCGCTGGATCACATGGAACTGGAATTACAGATCCCCTGAGTGCTGGAACTGAACCCAGGTCCTCTACGAAAGCAGCAAGTGCTCTTAATTTCAAAGTCATCTCTCCAGTGCCTATTTATTTATTTTTGACACAGGGTCTAATTTAGGCCAGGCAGACCTCAAATTTGCTATGTAATTGAGGATTAACTTTTAAAATTAATTTATTTGTGTGTACGTGATATGTGTGCATACTGACACAAGCATGCCACAGAACTCATGTAGAGGTCAGAGAACAACTTTTGTGAGGTGCAGGTTCGTTCCTTCCACTGTGGGATATGTGGATCAAACCCAGGTTTAGGTTTGCTCAGTGTGGTAATATGAATGTAATTGGCTCCCATAAACTCATAGAGAGTGCCACTATTAGGAGGTGTGGCCTTCTTGAGGTAGGTGTGGCCTTGTTGGAGGAAGTGTGTCATGTGGGGGTGGGCTTTGAGTTCTCCTATGCTCAAGCTATGTCTAGTTCAGTTCACTTCCTGTTGTCTTAGAGTCAAGATGTAGGACTCTCAGCTCCTTCTCCAGCACCACATCTGCCTGCATGCTGCTATATCCTACCATGATAATAGTGAACTAAACTTTGAACTGCAAGTCACCCAAATTCCTTGGTTGCTGTGGTCATGGGGTCTCTTCACAGCAATTGCTAACCCTAACTAAAACACCACTCAGCAAGCCCATTTGCCAGCTGAATCATCTTGCTCTTGTAGATGACCTTGGACTTCTGACCCTCCTGCTTCAACTTCCCAAGTACTGAGATCCCACGTGTGGGTCATCACACCCAGTTTATATGGTGTGGAGGACTGACCCTAGGACTTTATAAGACAAGCACTCAACTGAGTTACACCCTCTTCCCTAGCTCTTCTCTTTTAAGCCTTTAACACAAATTAAGCCCCAAACATCCCCATCCAATAGTCCCCTATCTACATCTGCCCATCTTCTGGGCAAGGCCAGTCCTACCTTGGCAGGTCTTGGTGTAAGGCTTCCAGTTCTCAGTGCTGATGAGGGGCAGGCACACCAACCCATCCTCGCTGATGTTGGGGTGATAGATCTTGGTGATGAATTTCAAAGTGGGAGGCTTAAGTGGATACTCTCTGGGGAAGTCAATTTGCAGATGGAAGGCCTTGAGGTGATAGGGAGGTTGGTCCTGGTCAAAGAGAAGAGACTGAGCTCTGTTCTGATGGTACAACTCCCCGCAAGATGGCTTTCCTCCAAGGGCTTTGATCTGGTTCCCTCCCTTCCTCATCCCAGGGTCCCAGGTGTTCTCTGGTCTACTCCCAGGAAGAGAGGAGCATCTGGCAACTGCCTTAGAAATTAGAGGAAGGATAGACCCTGGGTTTTATTCTGTTGTCATGAGTGAGACACCTCCCATCCCTGAACCTCAGTTTCCTCAACTGACAAATGGGACAGAAGCCCAGAAAATCACACAGACAGGCCCGGTTAAGCTCAATGGGTCACAACACAAAACAAGCAGACATGTGAGGAAGAGTTCTGTAGGGCAGAGGGAAGGCGGCATGAGAGCAACCAGTGTGTGTGTATAATAGATGTATGAAACTGTCAAAGAACAAATTTACTAGTTAAAAGTGGTTGTAGATGCTATGGAAAACCAGAAAGGAGGTCGCCAAAACTTCAAATATGATCCATCAATTCCACTTTGGGATCTATTCCTCAAAGAATTTTTTTAAGATGTATTTATTTTGTGTGTATGAATGCCTGCATGCATGTAAGTGTACCACAGGCTCATGGAAGTCAGAAGGTGTTAACACCCCTGGGACTGGAGTTACAGGCAGTTGCAAGGTGCCATGTGGGTGCTGGGAACTGAACTTGGGTCCCCTACAAGAGCAACCAGGGCTCGCAACTACTGAGCCATCTCTCCAGGGCTCCCCAAAGGATTTCCTTTGTTTTTCAAAGACAGGGTTTCTCTGTCCTGGAACTCACTCTGCAGACCAGGCTGGCCTCAAACTCACAGAGATCCGCCTGCCTCTGTCTCCCGAGTGCTGGGATTAAAGGTGTGCACCACCATAGCCTGAAGGAACTTTTTAATAAAATCACTGTATTACAATGAAGTCATAAATAAAAACATCACAGAGTTAAGTTAACATAGCCACACAAACCTTTGCCCAGTCCTAAACTCTATACATCTCAATGAACTTCTACACAGAACAGCCTTTCTGAAGCCACGCAACCTCCCTTAGGTTTTTGTGTTTTAATTTATTCTTCTCTCATACAATACATTCTGGCGGAAGCCTCCCCTCCCTCCACTCCTTCCAGTCTTGGTGGCCCTCCCTGCCCCCCTCCACATCTTCCCTCTCCCCCAGATCCAGCTGCTCCTGTTTCCCTTCAGAAAAGAGCAGGCCTCCCAGTGATATCAAAGGATTAGGGTTTTACACTTTCACTTTCAATTACATTTTTATGGACTTGTTCACCACACACAAAAAAGAAAAACCATGACAGAGCTGAAACTGAAAAAACAATCCGTTTTTTATTCTCTTTCACGACTTGTGTGTCCTTTTGTCTGCAGCATTCTGTCTGTCCTCATCACCTGATGTTACCCTTTCTTGGTCTCCTTTCTAAATGTCACGACGCTGTGCCCACCCTTACAGCTATTTGCATGTATACACTCTAGAGTAGGTTCTGTACATGAGAGAGAACATCCTAATTGTTTTTTTGAGTTTGAGTAATCCCACTTAATATTATACTTTCCAAGTCCATCCATTTGCCTGCAAATTTCATGGTTACGTTTTCCTACTCAGCTGAATAATGACATTATTATAAGACAAATGAATAAAACAAGACACATATGGACAAAGACACATTGTTTATCCTTAAAAGGGAACGACAGCCTAATACATGCTACAACTTGGATGAACCTTGAAGACATCACAGTAAATGAAATAAGCTAGACCAAAAAAAAAAAAAAAAACCCAAAAAACAAAACAAACAAACAAACAAAAACCTGACAGCTACTGTATAGATGGCATTCATGTCAATACCTAGAATGGTCAAATCCTAGAAATATAAAACAGGAAAGTGTTTATCAGGTGCTGGAGGGATGGAGAGAGATTATCAAATAAAGGCAGAATTTGAAACGCAGGTTGAAAAGCTCTAGAATGGAGGGGGATGATGACTACATAATGTACTTAATGCCACTGAACTCTTTAAACACGGTAAATGTTATTACTTTACAATGATACATATACACAAACAAAATAAACCTTTAAAAAAAAAAAACTAGACATAAAGCTCCATGCCTATAATCCGAATGTTTGGAAGGTGAAGTGGGAGGCTGTTGCCTGGGCTACAGAGTGGGTTCAAGTCATCCTGAACTACACAGCAAAACTCTGTCACAAAACAAAATACAACAAAACCCAGGGACTGGAGTAAAGAAGGGTTTGGCAATGGCCAAAAGCTAGTACAAGAAGAATTCAGATCAAGTGAGCTGAAGAGTCTCCTGGGCACCTACCCTGGGCCACTCGTGACTAGGAATGGCCCCACATTAGCCTGTAGAGTGGAGTGCAGGCAACATGAAGACCCTGAAGCTACAGGGTCAGTTTTGTCTCTTTCACCCACGAGCAGTGTCTCTTAGATGAGTGGCTGGACCTCTCTGGGTTTCCCTAACAGTAGATGTCTTCGTAGGGCTTAGCTGAGGATGAAATAAGTTAGTTTATGTCAAAGGCCTAGAACAGGGTATGGCAGCACACATACATGCACCAGTTATTATTGGTAAGCATGAAAGCCACGTCTCTCAACGTAAGGAAACTGTAGTTCAGTGTGTACATGCAATGTCCAGGTCACAGTGACTGTGCTAAAATGGGAATTCAGGATTTGACTCCACAACCCACATATGACCACCACTCTGTGCTCCCTGAAGAAGTTCCAGGGGCTGGAGATGTGGCTCAGTTGGCAGAGCATTTACCCAGCATGGACAAAGCCCTGGGACCAGTTCCTGGCACCACATAACACAGGGTGTGACGGTGTACACCTGCCATCCCAGTGCGTGGGTGGCAGATAAGACGTTCAAGGCCATTCTCGGCTATCTAGGGAGTTTGAGGCTAGCCGTGGACACACGAGACCCTGTAAAGAAGAGGAAAGGGGAGGGGAGCGGAGACCAGAATGATCCCAGCACAGAGCTCAGGATGCTTCACGCTGGTGCCAAAGCTCCAAATCCTTCCAGAAGTTCCATTATTGAATACACAGGGCTAAGAGAGCTAGAACTACAGCAGTGGTTGGGCAGAGTCAAGTACTGTGTTTTGTTTTGTTCTGTTCTGAGTGCTGGAATGGACACCGAGGCCGCACACGTGCTAGGCTCGTCCACTGTTACTGAGCCCTGTCTGTAGCCCAGAGTCAAGGTTCTGACTGAGTACCTGTCTCTAACACACACAGAATGGAAACTGGGCTTGGCTGTGTTGAAATGAGACAGGGAGCAACCCCTGGGCAGATAGAGAAAATATCCAGCTCATGGTCTTGATAAACAGAAAAGCCTGGGTCTGTGAGGCAGAGACAAGAGTGACTGACGTAGGACCCTCAGGGCAGAACCGGGTGTCTTTGCATCCTGTCTGGAGACTTCTTCTTGCTGAGCTCCAAGGTCTTAACAAAGGATGAACATGCAGACAGCTGAGGCCCGAGGCCTTCTCCTGCTCTGCCTCATGCTGCTGTGTGACTCTGAGCTTCTCTAGGACTCGCTCTCTCATCCGTAAAGAAGGTGGACCAGATGAAGGAGTTCACACTGCATCCCATGTTGGTGGAAAGACTGTTACTGCTTTCCAAATTCTGGGTTAAATAAAATTTTTGATTGAAACCGTCCATGCACTGGTTAGGACGGAAGACTCTGGAGCTGGAAATGTAGCTCAGTGGCAAAGTACATGCTTTGCTCATGTGCCTTGGGTTCAAATCTTAGCACCGCAAGCAAAAAAAAAAAGAGAGAGAAAAATAGGAAAGTCCAAGGCAGGAGGACTGCCAGCCTGAGCTACAGAGTAAGGACCTGTCTCTAATGAAGGAAGAAAAAACAGAAAAGGAAGGGACTGAGGGAATAGCTCAGTCAGGAAAGTGTTTGCATTGCAAACATAAGGACCTGACTTGGGTCCCCCAAATCCCTGTATGGGGGAAAAAAAGAAAAGCTGGACATAGTGTCACACCCTTGTAATCCTGGTGCTGGGAAGTGTAAGCAGGCAGATCCCTGGGGACTGGCTGCTTGGCCTACCTACCCTACTTAGAAAGTCCCAGGCTAAAGTCCAGAAAAAAAAGAAGTGGACAGCATTTAAACTGACCTCTTGCTTCCACAGGTTCGCAAAGGCAAGCATGGAGGAAAAGGGACAGAATTTAGGGGGGTGGGGGGATGAAATTGAATTCTGGAGCCAGACGAGCCCCTGCCCTGCCCCCTTATTCTGTGTAACAGTGGGCACATTCCTCGACTGCCTAGCTTTCCACATCCTCATCTGTAACAGGAAGATGTCCTTCCTTAAGGTGGGTGAGGCTTCTTAGTGTAACCTCATGCCGTGTTCTTCAGACAGTGATCCATCTGCTGCGATTCTCTACACAGCTTTCCAAGGCCAGCGCAGCTGTGACCCGCTTTCACTGAAGGGACAGGTGGGCTGCGTGGATGAACATGTAAATTGAGACTAAGTCTTTCTGGGGCTAGAGGTCTGCTTATCTCCAAAGCCTCTTTGCTTCTCCTTCTCTGCAGGCCAGCTACTCTCTTCATCACAGCTCCCTAGAGTCTAACAAATGTCCTCCAGCCTCCTGATTGGCTGGAGAGGTGTTGGCACATCTGCCTGAGGACTCACCCATAGAGATCCTGTGACTTCACAGTCTCTCTCAAACATGCCCTGTCCTAATTTTTCCTGTGACTGCCCTCTTCCTTCTGACCTGCCCCTCCTCCTCACCGTCATCATCCCAAAACTGGTCTCCTGGAAGACATAACCAGGACCCATTTAGTATCTTTTCCCCAACACTTGTGGCCCAGCATCTGGACAGCTTCAACCCGGGGGCTGAAGGACCTTGACAGGGCTCAGATGTTGGCCTAGCTCAAGCCTTCCTCCATTTTCCTGTACTACAGATTAGTGGGAAGGGAAGGCGAGACCATCGCACAGTAAGTACAGATTCTAAATAATTAGACCATCAGTTTTCTCCAAGAGCTTTGCTTAGCAAAGGGCTGTGTCTTTTGTTTTTGTTTGTTTGTTTGTTTTTCTTCTTCTTCTTCTAGGTGTTATTTCTCAAGTTGAATCATGACCCTATATCAAAAAACCAAGGAGGTCTCATTTTGTCAGAAACAATATTAACTAAGCCTGGTAGCACATGTTTTTAACTCCAGCACTCAGGAGGCAGTGCTCTGAGTTCAAGACCACCTTGGTCTACATAGCAAGCTCCAGACCAAGCTACATAGGGAGATCGTATCTCAAAATGTGTGTGTGTGTGTGTGTGTGTGTGTGTGTGTGTGTGTGTGTGTGTTAAACTACCTTGTTTTGGGAGACAGGGCTTCCCACTGGCCTGAAAATCACCAAGTAAGCTAGGCTGCCTGGTCAGTGAGTTCCAGGGACCTGTCTCTGCCTCCCCAGCTCCGGGATTACAAGCTCCTGCCATCATGCTTGACTGTTTACATGGGCTCTGAGGGCCGAACTCAGATCCTCATGTTCACCAACTGGGCCTCCCCTGATTTTGGTACTGTTTGTCTGCTGAACCTTCCTTCTTTGGTGGGCTTGGTAGCTACCAGTTTGAAGGAGAGGTGTCCTCTTAAGTCCAAAGTTTCTGTTGGTGTATTCGTTAGTCTGACTGGACTTAGAAGCAATTGGTCTAGAGACAGAACTTTTAACATACACCACAACCTCCAGGAAGAGATCCCAGGTCAAAGGAAGTTCTCACCTAGGCCTAACCCTCCCATCTAGCGTAAGTCACCCCCTACCCCAAGAGTTCCCATGGATACTCACAGGCAGCAGGAGCATGTGCCATACAAGCACGTTGGCATCATCGCTAGACAGGTCCCGCAGGTATGGTGGAAGCTTCTCCAAAAGATCCTCCAACTCCTGTAAGGGGTCACATGGGGACCGTGGGCCAAGTGTTCATAACCTCAGCCCTGAACCCACAGCCCTGCAGCAAGCCCAAACAGGATATTGTAAGAATAGAAAGCAAAAGGTCAGAGCCTTTTGTGAAATATTTGTTTACACTATGTGAAGCTGTGTCACTGTGATTGGTTTAATAAAGAGCTGACTGGCCAATAGCTAGGCGGGAGAGAATAGGCGGGAATTCCCAACAGATTTAGGCGTTAAGAGATGCCAATGAGACAGTGAAGAAGTTGGCATACAATACAGAGGAGAGGTAACTGAACATAGATTAATAAAAACAGGTTAATTTAAGTTATAAGAGATAGTTGGGAACCAGGCGGTGGTGGCGCATGCCTTTAACCCCAGCACCCGGGAGACAGAGTCAGGCAGATCTCTGTGCGTTTGAGGCCAGCCTGGTCTACAGAGTGAGTTCTAGGACAGCCAGGGCTGTTACACAGAGAAATCTTGTCTCAAAAAACCAAAAGAGAGAGAGAGAGAGAGAGAGAGAGAGAGAGAGAGAGAGAGAGAGAGAGAGAGAGAGTGCTAAGTCTCCATGCCATTAGTTGGGGAAAAGCCTAAACTAAGGCCAACCTCTTATAACTAATAGTAAGTCTCTATGACGTTATTTTTGAACTGGTGGCCCAAAGGAAAGTCCGACTACAGGAGCCCTCACTTAGGGAGCACTTAGCTGGTGTGAGACACAGTACCGAGTGATGAATGAATTACCTGATTTCATTCTCACCCCAGGTCTGCAGGCCCCAGCATAAGAATAAGCTGATCACTTCTCTCAAATACTGAGAAATTGGGAGTAAGTTCTCCTAGGAGCCTTTCTTTCTGAAAGCAAGGTACTTAACTCTGTCTTCTTGCCCTCTTTCTGGAAAGTCACTGGGTCCAATTTCCTCTTGGTGTCTTCAGTAATACCTGCTGAGTTTCCAGTACAATGTGCACTGGCGGAACCAACGGCAAGGACATCACCCACCCACCCCTCCACCATGCCACACCGCCCTTAGAGTAAAGGACTGCCCCCAGTGAGGAACTCTACACACCACACATGGGAACCAGGGGATAAGGAGTAACCAGGCTTCTTAGAAATATGGCCCAATCACTTGGGCACCCCTTCTTCATTCTCGCAAGAGCAGTTTACTGAGCATCCTCTGCTGACCCCTGACTAAGACAGGGTGCAGCCCTCAAGAATGTCTTCGGAGCAATGGAGGAAACGCAGATTTGAGGATATGAATGCTGTGAATGGACACATAATCAGGGAGGAGGGAAGAAGGGGAGCAGGAATGCTTCACAGAGGTCGCACGCTGTGAGGTGGGCCTTTAAGAGTAGATGGGAGCCTGCCAGGTAGAAAAGCAGAACGCCAAGGCTGAGGGCCCAGACAGGACAAGTGTATGCAGGTGCCCCATGGAATACTAACGTTATCACAGAAAAAGGGCTTCACAGCTAAGTACATTTGGGCAAGTTGAGCTAAACAGGTTCATCACTGCAGAACAGCCCAAAGGTTGTGGGTTTGGTTTGGTTATTGCAGTACTGGGGATGAAACTAAGTGCCTTGAACATACCAGGTGGTACCCTGCCGGGACCACATCCCCACATGCCCGGAGTCCCCGTATACCACAGTGCATCTGACCAAGGGACCTTGCCCCTGGGACTCCAGAGCTTCTCATTTTGGAAGGGGGGCGGCACTGAAAAACATTCACGCAACAAGCAGCTCAGTCCTCTGGGACAATGACTAGATGCAAACTCGTGTTTCTCATCCAGGGATGCGTGTACCCCCTAGGGTACATTTGTCAATCTCCAGAAACATTTTCCACTGTCACAAATGGGGTGAGTGCTACTACAGTTCAGCAGGTAAAGTCCAGAGATACTGATGAAACATCTTACAAAGAACTATCCGGTCCCAAGCGCCAACAGAGACAAAGTTGAGAAGTGCTTGTGTAAACACACGCAGAGAGAAAGTTTCCCTAACCCAAGGGGTTGGGTGTGGGGTCCTTCACTGCTGTAGACTGTCTGTACTTCCTCTCCCAAACACATGGACTTCCCACATGTTCTTCTGTCTCTCAGCCTCTCCTCCATGTCTAGCCACACCAACAAATTGCCTCCTGCGTCTTCCACTTAGAACCGTGACCGCTCACTTGCCTGTGCCACCTGACGACAACCATCCTCTTGGCAAGAACAAAGGTTTAGGAAAGAACACAGACCTTGAACGAGCATGTTCTGGGCTAGAGATGCAGCTCAGCTGGTAGAGTGTTCGCTTGGCATGCACGAAGCCCTGGGTTCGATTCCCAAAACTTCAAAAAGCTTGATGAAGTGGCACACATCTCTGATCCCAGGACTTAAGAGATGGAGGCAGAAGAATCAAGAAATTAGAGGTTGGACTGGTGAGGTAGCTCAGCAGCTAGGTGCACCTGTTGCTCTCTAACCGAGAGGACCTGGGTTCAATTCCCAGCACCCACATGGTGGCTAACAACCATCTCTGTAACAACCAGTTACAGGGGATCCGATATTCTCTTTTGCCTCTGCGAGCACCCGGCATACAGGTGGTTCACAGATGCACACGCAGGTAGAACACCCATGCACATAAAATAAAAGTAATAATTTAAAAAAGAAATTAAAGATCATTGTCAGCTACATATCAAGTTTGAGGCCAACCCGGACTGCATAAAACCCTATCTCAAAACAACAACAACAACAAAAAAAAAAATCCAAGGGGAATTTTCTCTCTTACCACTGGGAATACTTGGATTTTATGTGCTTTCGTGAATTCTGCCATGACTTTCCCATAATTGCTGAAATCTAAGCTAGGACACACAGCTCCTCCCAAAGTCTGCTAGTAAGTCACCTGACTTGGAGGAACTGAAACTGAAGACACAAAGGCCCTTAATAGCCCTGTTGTGATAGAGTCTCGTCAGTCTAGAGTCAAATTCTGCCCCATCACTCCTGCTGAATATCTGAACAGCACGGTCAGCCAGGTCACTCTCTCTGATATCTCAATTTCCTCCTCTGCGAAATGGGAAGACACAATTACCTCACAGAGTTGCTATACAAATTAGATAAAATAAACTGCCTGGCACTCAGGATTCTGGAGCAATACAAGCCTGTCATCTCTTAGCAAGAGGTAGCGAGGACCCTCTGCCCTATTTTGCACCAGCCTCCAAATTTTAGTTCTGGGATGGGTCTGCTCTGGCCTTCTCCATCTTAAAGAATTTTCCCTTATGGAGCCGAGGACAGCAGCCATCCCTTCTCTCTCCTGAAGCAGCCTTTCCCTAAATTCTGCAGACTGGAGGGGCCTTTGGGGAAAACTTCAAAGCCTGGGGTACCAGCCCCAGCCCACCAGCGTTTCTCCTCTACAATCCCCAATCGTGGCTCCATTCTGCCCTCTAGACATTCCTAAGGAAACTGACCCCTTTCCATTCTTCCAGATAGTATTCAGTGTCCCAGATAGAAATGAGCGCTCAAAGGGGATAAGATTTTTGTTCCTTTTCTGCCCCCTGCCGCCTGGCACTGGGCTAGTACGAAATAGGCATTTAGCATCTGTAGCAGACTGCATGCAAACCTACTCAGGGCATAAATTGGTACTTCTCATCCAGGGACTCTTCTGTATACTTTCATTCCAGGGACTGCCCATTCCCGCCCTACTGCCCATCAGCATCTCTAGCTTCTAAGGCCTCAGTTAAGAAAGGTATCAAATTATGGGTCCATCCGGTAGGTGGCGCAACAGAACCCTTCCCGTGCCTGAGATACGCCCCACTTATTTCCAGCAGAATTGAAACTGAAACCAGTTTGGGGACGCTAGTTCATTCTCACCCCCGCACCCCCCCCCACACACCCCCACACACACCCCAGTACAATTGGAAAAGTGGTGACTACTCTGTCTTGTGTGTCCCCATCCCGGCCCACAAACTCCAGCCCTACAAACAAACACACCCCCACACCCCCACGCCCCCACACACCCACACCCACACACCCACCCCCACAAACACACATATCCCGGCCCACAAACTCCAGCCCTACACACACACACACACACACACACACACACACACACACACACACACACACACACACACCCCGACCGCCTCCTCCCACTCCTTCACTGGGAGAGGGTGAGGATGCCTGGGTTTCAGCCCACCCTGGTACCCCTAATAAACAAAAGCTCAGAGGTCAGCTGGGGGAAACGAAGGGACTAGAGCATGGGGGTGGGGAGCACCAGAAAGGGGTCGTCTGACACGCGCTTACCTTAGCCACTCGCTTGCTGGCTGTCATCTCGGGTCGGAGTGTGTGGCACCTGCAGACTCCCTCAGGTCCCGGCTTTCTGAACCACAGCTCCGGAGCCCCACCCACGCCCCGCTCCACCCACGCGGACTCCAGCTGCAAAGACCTGCTCCCCCCACCCCATCAGTGGATACCTGGAGGGCGCCAGTCATCGAGTGCCCCAGGAACTCAGCTCTTTGCAGATCAGAGACTAAGTCCGCGGAGCGCAGTGCTCTGCTTGGTTCCTGAGTCCCCCGGGGGACGTCGCTCAGGAGCCGGAATGGGGTCCATCCCTAGACTTCATCATCCCCTCCACGCTGAGAATACACTCGCCCGAAGTACAGACGATATACTCGCTGTGCAAACCTTAACTCTGCTTCAGGGCTCTCTGCGACCTCCGCAATGTGTTAGCCGGCCTAACCCCTACCTCTAGAAAGATTCTCAGAGCCCTGAGGCAAGTCATTTTGCCTTTATGGGCCCAGTGCCCAATCCTAAAAGCGAGTGGGGGGACAGAGTGAACTATATGCCCTCCAAGGACTATGAGGAATCCTAGATGCAGTCCAGCAGTTGGACTAAGACACAGCGAAAGATGCTTCTTTTAGGTTGCTTGGTGCTGAGCACCACATGAGGATGCTGTTGGACCCATTTGCTTTTAGTTTTGGGTGCTCTGTCGACCTTAAGCCCTTTACTCAGCAGAACACGTACAAAGTGCCTGCTGTATGGCGATTTGGGAAACAGATGGGTAAGAGAAGCCTCAAGATAGATTTCAGGAGCCTATTATAGTTTACTACCAGCCGATTACAAACTATGGACCTGTTGTGTGTTCTCATGAACAGCCAAAAGTCTCCACCCCACTGCGCAAGGGCAGAGACCCCTTGCCCGAGCCCAAGTTGAGACCATGGTGGAATAGCAGCGCCCCACCCCCAAATATTGAAAAGCATCTGGGAGAAATTCTGCTGCTGTGATGAAGCTACTGAGAAGTCTACCTTCCCCACCTCACCCAGCCTAGAAATTAGTATATTTCGAACTCCAAATTTTGACCCAGTATGCCACATGTTTTTTTGTTGTTGTTGTTTTGTTTTGTTTTTCCTCTGTCTGGGATCCAAATGTCTGCCTTGCTTCGTTTGCAGAACAATTCTGTTTATTCATTTCAATAGCTTTAACCAGATACTTCCTAAATGATGGCAATAAACAGGACATCATTGGCAATCCCTAAATATAGGTAAGGGGATGAGGGAGCAGAGCATTTGAACCCATTTCTAGTTAGTCTTAGTTAACAAGCACGTAATACCGAGTGCCAGGCACTATCCAGGGAACACACCAGACTGAAGAAGTGGGGTGACCGTCCTCAGAGAAGCTCTCAGGCAGTTGAAACACGGGGAACTCAGCCTCTGAATTTTTGTGTGTTTGTAGTTTTTTGAGATAGGGTCTCACCATGTGGTCCTGGCTGGCCTAGAACTCAGAGATCTGCCCGCCTCTGCCTCCTGAGCACTGGGATTAAAGGCCTACGTCACCAAGCCCGGCTTGGTGAATTTTTAATGATAATAACATAAAGAATCACTCGGTCCTCTGAGGATAGGAGACTCACTTGATCTCCTTGTGGAGGGGGGCAGAGGCCTCCTGGATGACGGAATCTAAGTGAGGGAGACTGAACAGTTAGCTAGAGGAAGAGCACAGAAGGAAGGCGTTCCAATAAGAGGAAGGAACAGCATTGGCAAGGTGACAGACAGGGTGTGGGGAACCTGAAAGGGTCGGCAGTGGGAGCATAGCAGTCTGGTCGACCCTCCTTCTTCCCTTTACAGCCTGCATCCTGATGTGAATTCAGGCATTCTGGGAAGGGTCCAGAACCAGCCTGTGAGAGCTTACACACACACACACACATACATACACACACACACACACACACACACACACACACACACACACACACGGACACAAGAAAATAAATAGTTCATTTATTTTCATCGGAACACAATAACTGTACACACTGACAGGTACAGTGTGGTAATTCAACCGATGTATGGAATGCGCAATGATGAAATCACAGCAATTAGTATCTGCATGGCAAGCATTCTTACTTCTTTGTGTTCAGGATCTATGAACTCTTCTAGTTCCTTAGGAAATGCATAATGAATCGTTGTTAGTGAAATTTGCCCCACTGTGCTATAGAACATAAGAACCCAGGGCTGCTGGGAGCCTGAGGAGATGGTTCAGCCATTAAGGGCATTTGTTGCTCTCACAGCAACCTGGGTCCAGTGTCTAGTACCCACATGGCGGCTCACAAACCATCCACACTTCCAGGAGACACCCTCTTCTAACCTCTGCGGGCACCAGGCATACATACGGTGCACTATGCAGGCAAAACAAACACACATATAAAAGAAAAAAGTCTTTTAAAATATGTAAAAAAAAAGAGGGCAGCGATGGCGCACACCTTGGGCGGGGGAGGCAGAGCCAGGAGGATCTCTGTGAGTTCGAGGCCAGCCTGGTCTACAGAGAGAGAGCCAGGACAGGCACCAAAACTACAGGGAGAAACCCTGTCTTGAAAAACCAAAAAAGAAAAAGAAAAAAAAAAGAAAGAAAGAAAGAAAGAAAAAAGAAAGAAAGAAAGAAAGAAAGAAAGAAAGAAAGAAAGAAAGAAAGAAAAAGAAAGAAAAAGAGAAAGAGCGAGCTCAGGGTTGGAGAGATGTCTCAGAAGTAAAGTCAGTGGCTGTCAAACTTGACTTCGGGAGGCCACATGGCAGAAGGAGAAAAGGAGAGAACTGAATCCTTTGGGTTGTTTTCTGACCTCCACATGAACACCACAGTATATTCACGAACGCACATACACTAAATAAAACACAATAGCCGGGCGGTGGTGGCGCACGCCTTTAATCCCAGCACTCGGGAGGCAGAGCCAGGCAGATCTCTGTGAGTTCGAGGCCAGCCTGGGCTACCAAGTGAGTTCCAGGAAAAGGCGCAGAGCTACAGAGAGAAACCCTGTCTCGAAAAACCAAAAAAAAAAAAAAAAAAGAAAAAGAAAAAAGAAAAAAAAAGAAAGAAAAAAAAGAAAACACAATAAAAAAAGGAACACGAGAATTCATTCCTTTAATCTAACCATATTTGGTATCCATTACCTAGCTCCCTCCATCCTTCTTCTCTGCTGTCCTTCCTCATTACCTAGTAATATTTATTCTATTTTCTGCTTCTGTGAGAACCTTTTAAAGCTTCCACATAGGGGAAGAGCTAGCTGTGGTGGCACATACCCTACCACTTAGGAGGTGGAGACAGGAGTTCAGTGTCAGTTTGGGCTATTTTGGAGAATTGGCTAGCAGCTAGCCTGGGTTACAAGAGACCCTATGGTGGTGATATTTTGTTTGTGCTCTAACAAATAAAGCTTGCCTGGAGATCAGAGTGCAGAACTAGCCACTAGTTAATCATAGAGGCCAGACAGTGGTGGCTCACACCTTTAATCCCAGCATTTGGGATCTCATGCCTTTGATCCCAGGACTTGGGAGGCACATGCCTTTAATCCTAGCACTAGGGAGGAGGAAACAGGAAGTAATATGGCTGGGCTGAGAGAGGACTATAAGGCAAGAGGAGAAAGGAGCTTTTCAGGCTGAGGAGTTGGCAAGGTAAGAAGAGGCTGTGGCTTGCTCCTTTGTCTCTCTGATCTTGCAGCATTTACCCCGATATCTGACTCCAGGTTTTCATTATTAAGACCAATTAGAATTTGCAGTACAACCTGTCTCAAACAACCAGAACAGAAAACCCATATACGAGTTACAATATGTAGTATTTGTCTTTCTGTGTCTGGCTTATTTCATTTATGACATCCATCATCCATGTAATAAAATTTAAATAGAAATTTTGAATAAAATCACTACCCATTCAAACCTATACACAAATACATATTTTAAAGGTTACAGATGAACATTTAAATTTTTTAAGCTCCATTGTAGTTTATGTGCAGGAGTGTTTTATGTGAATGCATGTATGGGCACCACATGTATGCGTGGTACTGGAGGAGGTCAGTAGAGAGCCTTGGGTCCCCTAGAATGGTTGTGAGGCACCTGGGTCCCCTGCAAGCGCAATACATGCTCTTAATTGCTAAGCCATCTCTCCAGCTCATAAATATACACTTTCAAAGAAAATTGTTTTTAAAAGAGGGAAAAAAACAGAAAATAGACATAAATAACTGAGAACAGGTGGTTTAAAGCTCTGACATGCTGGACTATCTAATTAGCTCCCCTAAACTCTCTTAGTACTTGTTACATGCAGATCACAAGGACTTTCATGAATACAAGCATTTTAGCCCAGGGCCTGATATACTTACAACAAACCTAGACGACAACAATATAAAAATCAACATGTCACCCGGCAGTGGTGCTTTTATTCCAGCACTCGGGAGGCAGAGGCAGGCAGATCTCTGTGAGTTCGAGGCCAGCCTAGTCTACAGAGTGAGTTCCAAGACAGCCAGGACTACTAGAGAAACCCTGGGGTGGCGGGGGAGAAATCAACATTGTTATTGTTATTTTCTTCATCATCATTACTTCCAGTCCAGGTGAGTACCCCAAAGGAATGCCAAACGTTTTTAATGGGTTTAAGTAACAACACAAAACTGAGGTAGTAGTTAGCAAATAAGCAGAGAACTTATTTAGTAGGAATAAGGCCTGGCTTCGATCTCCTGTGCTCCAGAATGCATGGACAAGGATTTTTTTTTTTTTATTTTGCTTTTTTGAGACAGGGTTTCTCTGTGTAGTTTTGGTGCCTGTCCTGGATCTCGCTCTGTAGACCAGGCTGGGATTAAAGGCATGCGCCACCGCTGCCCGGCAGACACGAATTTAAAAAGCATTTTCTGCTTTTGGTTTGGTTAATTTTGGTGTGTGATGTTTATTATTAAAAAAAACCCTTCAAGTATTTTTTAAATAATGAAGGCTTATTTTAGTTATTGGTTTTGGTTTTGTTTTGTTTTGTATTTTCTGGGGCTGGAGAGATGGCTGAGTGGTTAAGATCACAACCACTAGTAACTCCAGCTCCAGGGCAGCCAACAACCTATCCAGGCCTCCACAGACAACTGTACTCACATGCACATACACATAAGTAAA